CTTATACCTGTCGCTACCGTTGGCGCCCTCTCGCTATTCATAAGATCTCTGCTTCTATTCCTTTTCCCTACTCACATCTCAGTCCCCAGGACAATTTCACGCTTGAATCCATCACTCATTCCTTGGATTTTGCAGGCTTATCTCTTTTATGGCTTGAATTGCCGGACATACCGCTCGCTAAGTGGCTCACAGATAACACCTGTGATCCTGCACGCACGAAGTGGAATCAGTGTCTGCAGGTCGGGAAATCCGAGTCTGCTTACTCTGTTTCCAACAGGAGGAATTTCATTTCCCCTATTGTCGCAGCACCGGGGGATCCAAGTTCACCAGTGCAAGAATCTGGACACTCTGGCCGTCACGACCATGGATGCCAACTGAACTGAACTGAAATGAACTGAACCCATGTTATCAAGTCATAGGAACATTTCACTAGCAGCATAATCAATGCAAATCAACCGCGAAAAAGGAACTTAATATTTGAACACGTACCATTAGAGGGAACCATAAATGAAAATAAAAAGGAGAGCATTCAGCTAGTCCGCGAACAACCTTTTCTAGACGCATTCCACGTGTTCAGGAGACTTAATAATACCTACATGATAACATTGTAGGAATTATTAGTTTAATCCTATCTGAGAATATCATCATATTTTTTTCACATCACACAGCAAAATTTAATGACTGATAATACAACGGAAATAAGTGAAGACATTAACCTTTGAAGGAAAAACACGTAAATGAAACCGCCTTGAGCGAAAGCCCCAGTAAAATACACCGTACCTAGATTAAACGAAATCCAAACTAAGCCAGTCTTCAAACGACGGACTATAGCCCTTGCCAAACAAGGTTGGTAAGTATTCATAACATCCGACTTTGCTTTATATGGGTTTGTTTTATTCGAGTTTTGGTGGATCCGAACGACGACCTACCTTGAGGCGCGCATTCCAACTCGACGTGGGAATCAGGTTGTCCCGTTTTCGGTTGTTTTTATTTATCAGCGTATGGATTTTTTATATAATTTTTGCAAGACCACCGTAGATTTTTCTTTTGAGATAGATTTCTCGTCCCCTATTGTAGTTAAATTATTGTAGCATTGTATTTATTGTATTTATACGACCTCACGGAACTCGAAGCTTTGTTTTCCCATACACCTACTTATCACTGGTACTGCTTACTAGCGTTTCCACTTAATACACCATGACAATTGACGCCGTTGTGGCAAAGTTTGGCACTCCGAAATGTCACAAGTGTATGGCTATGGAGAACCAGGTTCAAAAGTTGCAGGGGGCAATAGAAAACCGGTTCCTAGGCTAGAAACAAAAGTTAAATTGCCTTAGGCAGGCAACGCAACGTTATGAGTAAAGGGATTACTGAGCCGTTCAAACGGGAATGTAGACGAAGGAAGGGAGAACTCAAGAAACGAGTAATTGATCTCCTGTAGTGACTACTATAGTACGAAGAAAAACAGTAATCCACGAGGACGTTTTCCGTTCATATTTTCTTCACAATCAACTCTGACTCCAACCGTGATACTTCTGCTTGTTTTACCGAGCACAGTTTTCCGCTCAGATATATATAAGCCGGGTCCTGTTCAAACCGACGTAACACGTGTGACACGCTTTCGCTTTGCTACTGCATTTATTGCATTGTTTAGCGTCATTTCGGCACGTTTCGGTACTATCTAGTACCACGATTCGCCAATAAACGTCTACGACTCCCACGAGTGTTTTTGTCTAGCTCGGGCAACAAAACACTAGGAAGTCACGCGCACTTTGAGACTCGTAAGAAGACTTACCGGCTGGCCGTCAATACCGGTTAGCTTCACTCCTGCGTTTAGTAGGCAGCCCATCACATGCCCTCATCAAGAGGATCTTGTGGCTGGGAAAGTGGAACCCCAATCCGAGGGACCACCACGTCCGCCCTGTACGGTTGAATTCGGGCACGTTACCATAGAGCCGGACAACCTAGCACAAGTAAACTCGAGTAACAGGAGTCCGCGCTCAACGGGGGCATTTGAACATAAACCAAACTTAAACCCCTGTATTAAGTCTCACGAGATGCAACCAATCACCGAACACGCACAACAGCAAGAACTGGGGAATGGATAGCCCATGCAACGAGATAGCAGCACGAGGACTACACCCCACTCACTGTCGCGATGGGTCTAAACAGTCGTATGCATAACACCACCCGTCGGAGCCAAAAGGCGGGCGCATCACTCGGGTATGATACCCGAGTGCGTCGACCGCAGGAGGGACAGTAAAGGGAAGCAACAGGCTATAGGACTATCCGTCTTCTACAGCAACACTTGCAGCATGGAGAACAAATGGAAGGAATTGCAAGAAAAATGAGCGAGCGTCAGCTGCATAGCAATCACTGAGAAGTGGATAAATAACCAGCACGATGCAGCTCCACTTTGCCCACAGGGTTATATCAGCTACAGACAGGAAAGAGATGATGGCAGAATTTGAGGAGGAGTTTAGTGTCTTACTGGTATATCCACTTTTATATGACATGATTGTACAGCTTGTTTTTATATGCACAACAAGAAACACCACAATACAAAATTATATCAATAACTGCGTATGTGTTCTCCGAGTGTTGCTGAAGCATTACGCATACATTATCAGCTATCGTCAAGCGGTCCGTTAACTGTTGCAGTTATCTATTTCAGCCATACCGCACGCTATCAACCGGAGCCACAAATCTGTGAGTCCGTTCCATGTACCCTTTATTTCATTATGATTCCTGTGTAGTGTCTCTTCCACTACAAGAGTCCTACTGCTGCAAACACAGCACCTCCAACAGCAGGAGGGGAATGTATTTGCCTCCTCATGCATCCAAGCCACCCCTTTTGCAGTCACTTTCCGTGGCAAGAGCGTACTTATCCTATGGGCTTACCGAAGCCCCTTATCAACTGAGGATGAAAACAAGAGATTCGTTGATTACTTGCAACACTCTTTCTCTACATGCACTAGTAAGGGATTTAAATACAGCAGAAATTGACTGGGCCACCCGATGTGTACATGGGTCCTTGTCTTTCTGCGAGAAAACACTGGAAGTATTCAGCGAAAAGAACCATGTGCAGCACGTCCACCAACCAACGAGTCGGAGAGAAGGACAAACTCCGTCCTCGGTCAATGTCATCATGACGAAGTATCCAGTTGAAGTTAAGGACCTGCATATCGTAGCATCCCTTGGAAAAAGCTACCACGGGACGCTTCATTTCCTATGTGTCATAGATAGGGAAACGCCAGCCGATAGGTGGAGGTCTTACAAGTGTCTCAATTCAACCGCCATAGTGTCTTCTGTAGCAACTATGAACTGGTAAAGGCAGTACACCGACCGAGATCAAACGTGGGGAACTTTGCTAACCCTAGCTGTGGAATTCGTCCCACTGAAGTGACTGCATCGAAGAGGAAGTCCGCCTTGGTGGAGAAGTGCGGCCACCAAGGATCAAAGGAAAAAACGTCTTGTTTGGAAGCGCTTCGCTACCGAACAACGTCACGTCAGAAACCTTCAGTACCTTGGAGCTCGAGATGCAGCCATCAGCAATCCAAAGAGCTACGAGATGAGATATGACTTAGCTCTGGCGTCGAATGCAAAAACGTGCCCCAAGGCATACTTCAACTGTGTTTAGTCAAAAGGAAGCATATTCCGGTGTATGTTAACCGGCTAGTGCCACAGTTGAAGGTTTGCATATTTTGGAGTATCGTAATCTGTAGCTCGGTACCGCTTTTGCAAGAGAAACCCATTCGTTGAAAGACACCGTCTTCCGCTTTATTTCGAGTCACTCTACGTGGATCGTTGTAGCCTGTAAACTCAACACGTGGGTAATGTATTATTTGGGTCAGGAGAGCATGCAACTAGAGCTGACCAGAAAGCAGAAGCTCTACTGAATTTCTTTCCTCCTTTTTACATGAAGGATAGCGGTACACTGTCAGGAGAGTCTATGCTTTCTCAAATAGAACATCTTACGGCAGCTGATGCACCGTAGTTAAAACAAAGTTTTTCTATTCTTCTTCCTTATTGCTGTTTCTTTTCTGTCGTTTCCACTCTTTGCTGTTTGTAATTTCCTGTTTGCTTAAACGTTCCAACATAATGTTTTCGACGTTCGGCCCGGGACATATCGCTTGGTCAGCTCGGTTGAGCTTGGTGTACATTTTCGTTCGGTTGTTTCCTGCGTTCTGCTTGGGTGAGCATACATCCAAGTATGTTTTTTCCTATTTGTACAATTTATTATAATGTGTTTTGGATACCGCATAAACGTCGTGGTCTATCGTCTTTATTCGTGTTTTCATTGCTCATTCTCGTCGGATTCGGTTACTTGGGATCGTTCGTTATTGGGTTGAATACGTTCGTTCCAGTGCGGAATTTATTGTCGACAGCGTGGGCGAAGTTGTTCATTCCAGTTGAGGGGTGATCGTTATTCCAAAGTTCAAGCCCGTTCGTGCTATATCGCGGTGTTGATGTAGTTTAATACGCGTATTGGACTTACGAGCTCAAGCGGACGCAGCAGTATTTGGATTGGTCAATAGGTTCTATTGAAATATTCAGAGTGCGTGTGGTGAAGAAGCACAATGATAGAGAGAACACACGAAAGACAGAGGGATTAAATGACTCGATTCCCCGCATCACAACTGTTGCAGTAGATCAGTAAATTTGTACCCATTAGATAGGTGTGTTGCATATAAATAACGCTGTTACAGAATAGCCGGAAGTCTAGTAAAATTTACAAGGCAAGGTCAATTGTGCCTACCAATATGACCATGCACTGCCCCAATCTGAGGCTGCAGGAAGGAGAACACAAGCAGATTCTTGGATCACGACATACTTTGAGTGCATGGATTCGCCAGTGAGTGGACACAGTAAAAACGCATTGTACAATGACTGTAATGAAGTCTAACTGGCTGAATTAATGTGACCAAACCGAGACTGATTAGCAGTTAGTTGGAGGTAAATCTGGCCAAACATGTTCCGTATCAGTGTCTTCTGTTAACATGATGGGGGAAATGGGTTCCTGTTCAGAAGAGGTCGATGGATCAGCGGTCTCACGCTGCAAACGAGGCAAGGGAACACTAGGCACTGTAACCACACCAGCCGGAGAACCCGGTACAGTTGAATGACGACTCAATGCGACCAATGCGTCTCCGGATAGAGTTTAAGGATGGAGGCGAGGTGTATTGCCTAAATGTTCGTCTTCTTCTTCAGCGATTTCAGCAAAAGCAGCCCTCGGATGGCGTCGATTATCGAGGCTGGTGCGAATAACGCCGGCACCTTCCGGAACCGGAGTTGAAATGGTAGATCCGCACCCGAATCGGGATTGGCCAACAATCACACGTTCGGACCCAATGCGAGTCCCCGGAATCACAGAACGACCAGATCCACCACCTCCGGAAGTTGAAGCCAGTGACTGATACGGCGAAGGTGATCCTGTATAAGAACTTCCAGGTCCTAAATCCCATGGTCAGCCAAAGGATGCACCCATAGTTGGAGGAGTGCCTGTAGGCTGTTGCAGATTTTGTTGTTGCTGGCGACGACGATGTGCCAGCTCATGCATATAAAGTATACTCGTTGAGTTGTCCGCAGTAAGAACATCTGCCATTCTCGTCGGATTCGGTTACTTGGGATCGTTCGTTATTGGGTTGAATACGTTCGTTCCAGTGCGGAATTTATTGTCGACAGCGTGGGCGAAGTTGTTCATTCCAGTTGAGGGGTGATCGTTATTCCAAAGTTCAAGCCCGTTCGTGCTATATCGCGGTGTTGATGTAGTTTAATACGCGTATTGGACTTACGAACTCAAGCGGACGCAACAGTACAGATTGAACACCCTACGATATGCGCTAAAGAAATAACAGCTGCATGGCCGAACGGGATCCATCGTGTTTTTCTCTCCTCTTTAGCTGACATCTTGGCAATCAACTCACAGGCCTGTTCAACAGATCATCAGAAACAGGTAAAACACCATTGGATGTGCGGATAGCGGAGGTGGTACCGATCCATAAAGGTGGCAGTCGGGACAACGTTGAGAATTACCGACGCATAAGCTTGCTACCGTTGGTACTTAAAGTTATGGAGAAATGCGTAAGAAAAGCACTTGCCAAGCACCTAGTCACATAGCACCTCATACAACTATCACAACATGGGTTCGTTGGTGTTAAGTCATGTCTTAGCAACCTACTGTCCCACCTTGGTCTTGTGACTGCGAGATTTGACAGGGGTGATGCAGTAGAAATTTGGTATTTGGATTTCCGGAAAGCCTCTGACTCCGAAAATTACCGTTTACGGCTTACCAAGCTCAAGGCCCTGAATGTGCCACCGACATTGGTACGATGGCTAGAGGGTTACCTTAAGCATCAGAAAGTTTACGTCAGAGTGGAAGGTGAGTGCTCCCGCTTAGCCAATGCCTGCAATGGAGTACCTCAGGGTTCAGTCTTGCGGCCGTTACTATTCATCAGATTTGTTAATCATTTGACCGTCAGGCTTAAGTCTCCCTGTTATCCGTTCGCCGATGACGCTAAGATAGTCGGGAACCCATATAAGGAGACTGTACAAGCAGACCTAAATACTCTCCAGCAGTGGTCTGACACCATGGGCCTACCCGTAAATATAGGAAAGTGCAAGCAACTACAGACTGAGGGACCACCTGCACCCAGAACCATCAACCATGAAACCGTCGGACCATAGAAAGGGTTACGGAAATACGGAACTTCGGCGTGAACATTCACGACTCATTTCAGTCATCTGCCCAATGTGACATTGCAGCAAGCATGCACAGAAGGCTATCTATAAACTACGCAGAACAATAGACTCTATAGCTCCCTAAGTTATCGAACCACTATTCAAGGCAATAGTGAGACCGCAACTTGAGTATGCCGTGCAAGCCTGGGCTCCAGACTTAAAAAGAGACCAGCAACAATTGGAGAATGTCAAGCGAAGGTTCAAAAAGACCATTGCGGGATTGGGAGACAATTCATATGAAGAAAGGCTGAGGACCTTGGGACTTTGTTTCCCTCCATCGTAGGCGCCTCAGAGATGATCTCATCGAAGTATTCAATCAGATGAAAAGGTTATCCAATACTACTTCTCCCGTCTTCGCGCTGGAAGAAAGCTTTACAAAGGAAGGGCATAGCCTCAAACTGAAGAAACCCAGAGCACTCAAAGGTATTAGGGCAAAGTTTTCTCCTATAGAATAAATAACCGATGGAACAAACTGCCAGAGCATGTTGTTTCACCTCCAACAGCAGCCCAATTCAAGGCCGGTTTGGATAAGTTGCGGCCATCACTATTCCCTAACGTCATCTAGGACCACCTCACTCCCATTGTCTTACCTTTGCAACCCCAACTCTTCCACACTCCCACGCCTACCGTCTTACCCCACTATAAAACAAAATTCGGAGAATTATTCCACTCTAACATTAAGGCATGGATATTAAATTAACCATTTTTTACCTTACAGCAGCAAATATGTACTCATAAAGCTTCCGGAGGTAGGCAACAACCCCGAGGATTTATCAAAGATCCTGTCCCCTACTTGCTCATTTCGCGCTCGCTTACCAATTTTACCAGCTATAAACCTACGGGTCAACACCGTGGAAACAGACTTTTGTGCGGCTGTGCTGTTGTGAGCATGAATGAGAGTATGTTGGAAAGTCAATATGCATAAAGACCAAACTCGGTAGTCAGTGTACCACGTCGCGGTGCTGTCCCCCATAAGTGGCCCAAGCTCCACAAAAAAGCGAGAGACAGGTGGAGATGGGAAGGCTCTATGTGAAACAGTGGTCAGTCAGATTATTCTGCCGAAAGGCGGCAGAATNTGCAAATGAAAGGATGAGCGGTCCTATCCACCAAACCAAACATCATTGGTGTGACTAGATATCACTCGGTAAAGCGAGACGAAAGTGGTAACTGACCTGTGGTGAACGCGAGTTGGGGACAACAAACCCAGCTACGGTCACCGAGGCAACCACGTCTGTAAGCTAACTTCAGTGTGCCGAACTCGTACAGGCCAAAAAAGAAAGGTTCAAATGGAATAAAAGAGGCACGCGTCTGTTTCGACCTAAAATGGATTGCGGTTGTGACTGATCCACAGGGACCAGAAGGCCGTTACCCGACAACCACCACCACTCCATATTTAGTTTAGCTTGGATCCTGGAGGCTGCCACAGCAACTTTCGGTGCTGAATCTCAGCTTATTTGAGTGCTGTCATGCATTTACAGATCCACTAACCACCAATATCACAACGACAGAGGAACCGCTATTGGGTGCTGCCAGGTATGATGCCTTTAGAGCACTATGTAGAACACTTCTACCTTGTGCTTCAAACTTCGACAGAAAAGACGATTATGGTTGGTACCATAAGAGGCTAGTGTAACATGTGAGATTGCTCTTGCTTGTGTATACACGATCGAAATCAGACTGATCTATTCTGCGACAAATACACCTCTGAGGAATGCTGCTAGTTTATGAAGTATTTACTCCCCTTCTTCATTCTTAGTATCTTACTCATCTTCAATGCCTCTATATATTGACCCAAAAATGCGACTCACGCAGTTATAGACTAGACCGAATCCACACCAGGCCGTTTTCCAAATTATGAATGAACATTTCTACTTTCCAGCATTGACTATCAGTGAACGGGAAGAATCGTATCCCCACCCCACTACTGTAGATAAGCTGGGTCAAAGGAACACTTGGCAGTCGAAGCATCACGAGAACACGGAGCTCGGAGTGCAAGAACTTGGATACGTATTGCCTGGAGCCACAAGTCTTGTGACCTGACCTGACCTAACCTGACGCCCCCCCCCCCGAAGTTAACTTTATATTTCTTCGTCCGAATTATTAAATAAAATAAAAAGATCTCCCGTTGAAAATTTGAATTGCTTGATCTATTAAACCTGTCTCTAATTCAGTTAATTCGACTTCAAGTTGAAATTTTAACGTGCACTTATTGAAGTTATCGCCTTGGTACCTCATTGTTTTTTGTGCGTTTTGTACATTTTTTGTCCTTGTACATAGGTGAACTTGGAAACCCAAGTGCACTTACAATCTTCGTGGTTTAATTCTACTCCTGGTCTTCTACAAAGATTTGCTCTCCTAGAACAAGTTATTTTATTATAATTCTTAGCCAACTTGACTATCAAGACTGTGGTGAGGTTACGCTTCCCATGCGACTAATCCCAGGCCGCTGACTCTGGATATCACTCCATTACTAGCCCTGAACCTCGGTAAGCACCTAAAAAAATCCGCCTTCCTTCTTCCCAGGGCGGCAAATGTGCCTCGGCCCCAGACGGAGAACGTCTCCAATCTGCCCATGCAAAGCAGTGTATAAAATGAGCGCATCCTAGTGAGCTTCTCTGAACGCAGTACGCACGAACCCAAAGCGTGTGCATGGACCAAAACTCACAGTCAAGAGTAATAGCGTCGGCCTACCAGTACACCCGGATAATACGTCTACATCGCAAGCGAGTTTTTGTATCCAAAATGAAACGAGATAATTCACGAAACAGAGGACCGTTGTATTATGTAAACCTGCAGAGACAAAAAGAGTGGTGTGGGGGCGTGAGTAAGCCGGCGGAAAGTGAAAGCAGACAAGCACTGAAAAAAGGTGTCATTGGTGAGGCAAACCAATGAGGTATACATGTAAAATGAGAGACAGGTCGTTTCACTACAGGGCTCGCCCCACAACACTAAGGGTAGGGAAAGCCTTCGATCGTTCCCTGTAGTTTGTTAGTTTGAATCGCTTAATGTTTTGGCACCAAAATAAATGGAAACCAACGTTCAAAATAGCTTCGGTTGATGTGAAAGAGGATACTGGTCCATGAGACAAACGTGCGGGAACGGAAATTCCATGGAAAAGAGTCTGTTGGCTCATTTTCGTTTGGCTACTTGCACGACCCAATAAAAACCTGACTAGGGCCTTCAGAAAGAGGTCTACAATGCACTTATAGTCCTGGAACGTTGAGGGAAGGTGGAAAACGTGCCAAACGTCCTTCTTAATGGGTTCTCTGACAAAAGGTTTTCTCCAAAGTTTTCAGGTAACACCTGGAAGAGAACGGAAGAAGGATGGTTGAAGCGAGTCGGTGAGGCGAAGACAAAACACAATTAAAAGGGCTCAGGCTTTTTAGTTGTTTTTGTGTTTTCGTTTTCCATTACATATATATATTGATTCCATTCAGCCCTGCACCCACCATAATGTGTGGCCCATTACTCTCGTCCCATTACGAACTAGCGTACTGGAAATACTCACCCGCACCTGATCCTATTTACCCTCATTTCTCGCAACAGTTCATTGTTTCATGATAAAGGCACCACTGCCCTCGTTCCATCTGATCCCCACTTCACACACCCACATGACGTTTTCGGATGTTTGCTCTATTGATTCTTCAGCATATCCGCTATCTGACTTGTCTCAACA